TCACAGTGGAGTCAGCTGTCTTAACCGTGGCTTGTGTACTGCACACATACCAGCTTCATCACGGTGTCTGTCACGCGACTCTGTTCCCCTTTCGGGCTCTGTCTTTGCATTTATTTTGAAAGATGAAGCTCGCGATTATGGTAAGGGGCGTTACATTTCCGACGAGTGCTTGCGGTGTTCGGCCAATCACAATGCACTGGGTCAGCTGGCCAATCAGAGCAGACTGCACTTGTCGGAAGGAGGGACTTTGTAGAAAACGAAGCGTTTGAGAGAGGCGGGGCATAGAGGACCTACAATAATGTACAGTATTTGAAAAATAATGTGTTTTTTGAACATTAAACATGTCAACATATTCTGTTACACCAAATACACAAAATAATGATCTTTAGAAAAGCATCATATGACCCCTTTAACATTCTAAACAAGTTAACAATGCCCACAATGTTTCTCATTAATACTGATACTTTGGCAGGTTTATTACATTCTGCAGCACATTCCATTTAATCTGGGAGAATGAACTCTTGATAATCCTAAATAACAAAATTTATTGTTTAGACAACGCTGTAAACGTGAGATCTTTAACACAAGAGCCAAGCTGATAAAACATGGTCTCCAGTGGATATAGACACCTCTCCTATCTAATCTCTGCAGTTACTCTGGTGTGATGAACATGGTCAATAATTAATCAGAACATAATTATTAGGTGAATTGGCAAGGTGTCAACAGTACTGCAGTAAGTGAAGTACACTTAAAGTAAAAAAAATGGTGTGTAATTTTGGATCAAAGTTTAACACCAGTGGATCAAACACACTGGTCACCAGTTTCTGCAGTAATTCTTTGATCAGTAATTTCCAAACTAATGCAAATTTTGTTTTTTTAGTCATACTGAGGTACAAAAAACTTCTGTAATTGAAGAATTACCCATAAATAAATTTAATTTCCCTGTGTTAATGGTTAATGATACTTTAACTACAAAGTTCTTACAAAAATGATTAAAATGAGTATGCATCATCCTCTTTCAGAAACTGCTGGATGACACATTTTAGGTCAGTTTCTTTTAATGAATGTTTGCCATAAATCTCAACCTAAAGAGAAGCCAAATGGTATAAGCTGGCCTAAGGGCTTGCTAAAGGCCTGCCAACTATAGAAACGACAGCCTGTATTTCTGAGAGAGAAGGACAGATTACCCATTTACATGTACTAATGGACCTTATTCAGTGAGTGGGATATCTGATGACATGAGGCAGGTAAACGGTCTGTCGAAGAGACACTGAGCTGAGTGTTCTTCAGTGAAGGCATCCCACAGGGCTCAGTATTTGGCTCCTATATTTTTTTCCATCTTGCCCAGAACACAGCCCTCTCTGTTTCAGTTTCAACCCAAGTTCTCTTTCATGCTCACTACCTATCTTTCTGTTCATGGCACTGAGAAAAATAACCAGCACAGAGCCTGTTGCTGCTGGTTTAAAATGATCGCTCTGTATAAATGAAGGAATGTGCCTGTGTTGTACAGCTGTAGATGAGGAGAGCAAGAGAAGGGAAAGACAGAGGAACATATGTTTGTGATTAAAGACCTATGGGTGGAGGTCTTATTTGCTCGCTTTCAAATCTCTCAGACAGCTGCTGTGTTTTTCCCAGCTGGAGTGATTTATATTTCTTTGGGTTCAAATCTGAGAAGCTCTCTTATTTGAGATGCATTTAAAAGAGACAATAATTGAATGTGCATTCCCTACAGATAAAAACACCTGAAGAATATTAGAAAGATATTATCTTGCAAAATGTGCAATGAAAAAAAACTACAGAATTTTATTGGTTTATTTTTAAATCAAATGTGAATTACATGATGCAAATTATGTAGGAAGGAAATATTCTATTTTGTGGCAATAATCAAACTTGTTCCAACCAAAGTGGCAGTGTTTGGCTAATTAGCATGGCCGCTTTAGCCCCCACTAAACAACTGTCATTGAGATTAACAGGAAAATATTATAGACCTCCATGTGTGAAACTATACGGTCATATGACAAACCTCAATCTGTTGGACGGTTAGATCCAGGAAAGTGTTCTCATTACGGACGCTAATAAGGCTCTTGGGCCCTTTGCAGCCCATGCTGGTTCCCAGACCTCCATTCAGCTTCACCACCACCAGCTTATTCAGACTGTCTGCTATGTAGTCCGGTAGACCCTTTGCCTTAATCTTATCATATGGCTGGATCTGAAACAAAGACAAGAAAGACAAACGACTGTGAGTCAGGACATGCTTACATTTTTTCACCATCTGGAAGTTTATATTATATTATAAGGAGTTCTGGATTATATTATACTGGAGTTCATAAATTATCCATCCAGTGACAATGAAGTCTCTAAATTTCATCCAGATGCTGTTGCTATTGGTGTGCGTGTGTGTCTCATTGGATTCTTCTTCTACAAAAAAATCTGACTAAGGGGTCAGAAGTCAAACGTTGAGGTTAGTGCACTGTTATGATTGTGTCTGCAATCTATCTTCCAGAATCACTAGGATCATTTTCAAATACACCAAACAACCACAACACACATTGTGCAAGCACAACATTTCTCATAGAGGCAGAAAAAAAGGACCATGTTTAATCGAATAAACAGCCCAACTGCTGGATCAATAGTACCAGTGGGAGGGAGACAGAAAGACGAGAAGAGAGAGACGATGGATGCGTTTCTGAAAGAAAAGATCCTTTCCCTTTACATCATTCCTCGTTTCCCATGAGGGCGATGGGGCACCACCATGAGACATAACTGATGAGTCAGATACCAATAAAACATCACCACACATTTGCACTAAAATTCAGAGCACAATGCCCCACTTTATGATATTATGACAGATAAGCACAAACATGAAAAAAGAAAAGGACTAAAAACGTAATATCTCAATCACACACAGCATTTCCATGACAAACACACAGACAGATGGAGAACATGATGTAACCAAGGTCATAATGTTTGTCAGGGAGAAAGAGCAATGAGTGTGTGAGAGAAGGAAGTCAAGACAGATGTGTCTATGTAAGAGGGGGCTAAAGATGAAAAGAAAGCATGATTTTCCCCCCAACCCCGTGAAGCACAAACCAAAGTGCAGTCAGTTCTGAAGATTTCACTGGTCATGTCAATCACAGTGCTGACCACCTACAAAACACTGAAACAAATACTAAGCCCTAACCCTAAAATAAACCCTAATCTTGGTGTAGCACATCCTGATAATAGCATTACTGTTTGTCATGATCGCCTCCATCCATGATATATCAGAACTCTGAACTGGATCCATGAAATCTGAACAGGATCTATGAAATCTGAACATTTCTTAACAGGTAAGTGATTGAGTTGACCAATGAAATAAGCTGTGGGGAGAGTTTGTGCTTAACTGGTTTGGTGTAAATTTGTAACAAAAAAATATCTAAAAAAAAAAAGAATCTGTGACCACAGAACTGAATTCCATTCCATAGAATGGAAAAGCATCTGTAGATTCCTGGTCATCAGGTGCTCAGATACAGCCATATGCAGTCTCAGTGATCAGATGAAAAACAGGAGTATTTTTATGTTGATTTGTCTTATATTGTATACATACTTGTGGTTTACAGTGCTCAAACATTGAGGCTGCCAGCAGAGGTTGGTGGCTAAAATCCCAGGGCTGCTCATCACTTGGAGCAAACAACAGCCGGAGAGGCAGCAGTTCTCTCAGCCGTTTCAAAGAGAAAATCTTTTTAAATGTATTTTCAATCTCTAAATGATTCCTCCACAAACTGTTGGGACAGTCTTTTCATGTAAATTCAGCCACATTATTGTAGAATGACAGGTAGAGTTGATTCCTTGACTTTATCAAAGAATGTTATATGACATTCACCACACAGACCATGGTGCCAGATGGCAATAACATGGTATGTAATTATTACCATATTCATATACCATGGTATTTTTACATGTTAATCCAATGCATTTCAGAGAAAACCAATTACTGTTTTGTAATTTTGTTTGTTGTTTTGATGGACTCAGTTCCAGTCTACTGTGCAGTGAAACTAGGTCATCAGTCAACCTTGGAATTAAAAACAACCCTGAAAAATATCTTCTCTATATTGACTGCAATTTTATGGCCTACAAACAAACATAGACACACACATTCATAATGCCATCCATTAATACTCTGACTGAAATTCAATCAGTAATAGCAATGATATATGTGACTGTGTTAAATGTGATTCAGTAGCATTACAGAGAGAGTGTGTAACAATAGTGTGTAGTGGTGAAACATCTCTGTCAGTCTCTTATGTTGATACAATCTGAACATCTGATAACTTTTTCACTCAGGATCACTCAAACTAACCTTTTTGCACTAGGGCTGTAATACTATATACTTGCTTGCAAAAATTTGGTACGGTAACATTACTTGTATTGCGTGACTCCTTCAGTTTATTGTTTCTTACATTTTCTGAGAAAAGTGTTTCCTAAAAAGTTCTATCAATTTATCAATCCTACATTTACTATGATTGTGTTCTCCTGCGTGTTGTTCACCTCATTGTCTATGAGCCTTTTTCATAAAATATACGCAGAACAAATTTCTGTGTAAATCATGCATGCAATTATTCTTGTGTAAACCATAGTAATTTATTCAGCGTGTTAATATACATATGAATAGATTTACAATTTAGATAGAAACTTGTTTGTTCACGCCCCGTGTCTTTAATCTCTGATCAGGTGTTGTTGTAGTGGTGGTGTGAGTTCAGTCTTTTCAAGTGTCTATAGTTCCTTGTTCTTTGTGTACTGTCGCTTATATTGTGTGTGCGTCAAATAAAGCAGCAATCCTTTTTCCATTGCTTTTGAGACCCAAAATGTTTCTAGGTGAATACACACAATCTATTTTTAGTGCCTTTGATTGAATAGTTGCAATGCAGTTTAGGTGGCATTATTGTGGCAATGAAAGGCATTTGACTAAACATGAGCCCAGTTCCAAACCACCATGACACCACCTCCCCTGAGGCCCTAAATGAAACATGGCTGACTGAATTAACTAACCAGTCATCCAGAGAACAACAGGGATGTCCTAACTGCTGGTAAAGAAAAGAAAGAAAGTATTTGAGATCTGAGCTTCAAACCAAAAGCAGGACGCCCAATATTTTAAGCTTGTTTTACAGGTTGAATCAGATTGTTGAAACATTATTTCTGGGTCAGCCACATTCCAGTTGCTCAAACCTCTTCACACATTCATAATCACACACACCACATAAATAAAACCCCTCAAAGATCCCACAGTGTCACAAGACCAGAATTTCCAGCATTGTCAATACATACCTTCATCGATAATGTGTTTTTATGTCTTACAAATAGAAACTTTTTCTTGTGATTGAACACAGTTGTTACTAATTCTGCTGAACTATAAGCAAATTAATGTTTTTAAATATACATAATGTAGAATTTATAGCTATTACTGAGTTACATTATATATTACTGAAAATTGCAATCATAATAAATTAGTTGTAAATTTTTAAAAAGTAAATATTGGATAATATAAAAATCTATGTATTTTTCTGACGCTAATGTAAAAACACATTCTATATTAAAACCGTTTACATTCTATATACAATCTATAAAAACAAAAATGCACACCTTTAAAAATTCTGGAAAAAAACAGCTGAGCTAATTAGGTTTCTGATGTGGGCTTCGGTGGGAGAGAAAGAATGTGAAATCTCATGATGAACTCGACATAAAATCTGGGTAAAAAGTTCTGGGTAAAAGTTCCAATAATTACCTTTTTTTTTTAACCACAAACAAGTCAATCAGCCACTTATCTTGGGTACAATATATCTACTGGGACAACACTGGTCATTATTACAGCAAACATAAGGTGTGACGTTGCAGAATCCAGACGTTATGTGGCAACAGATGAGGACTGGTTAGCCTTTTATACACCCAGCAGATGTTAACGGTGAATGAGCTTCTTTTTTTTTTTTTGTCAAATACGGTTTCATAAGGACAAACACACAATGACACACCCTTAAGTTACAATGAGAGAAAGCAATTTAAGCAAAGACAGCCCATCCCTAAGGTCCCAACATCCCAAACCCGACATTTTACAGCATTTACTGTACATTATGCAGAACTGGAGGAATTTCTCTTCTACGTAACAACCTCACCTTCTCCAAATATCCTAAAATTTACATGCATACATACACACAAAGGTCTGTAAACATCACTCTTTAAGTTTGGAAGGAGTTGGAAGGAGATCGGTCTCTGTGCTTGTCTTGTGAGCTTAAAACAGGAATTTCTGGAGCAAGGCATATAATATCCTGCTTAGATAACCTGGCTATATATGCTGCAGACTGTGGTATCAAACATTTCACACGCAGTTTCATAGTACAGCCTGCATGTGGTTCCTCATGGAGCTGAAAGTCTTGCGAGTGGGTTTCTGGCTCTTAGAGAACATTGCATAATCATCACAGACCCAGCGGAAAGCAGACCGACACTGGATTCTTTATGTGAAACACAAACACACACACACACACACACACACACACACACACACACACACACACACACACACACACACACACACACACACACACACACACACACACACACACACACACACACACACACACACACACACACACACACACACACACACACACACACACACACACACACACACACACACACACACACACACACACACACACACACACACACACACACACACACACACACACAGCCAAATCAAATTAGGAGACACTTTTGCTCATGGCTTGTTATCCTTACACCCTCCCTTGCCCACAGATGAATCAATTTCGAAGCTTTATTTATCATTTTCCTTGGAAATGTAAAAGTGTATGAATGTCATGCAAATTATTTCATGCTGGAATGTGGGTAGCTTTTAATCACAGCTGGCTAATTCCCAGAGCCTGAGGCAACACTAATGCTCACACACGAGACTCTGAGTACTGCCCGTCTGTCTGGTTTAATGCTTGAAGTGTGTATATATATATTAGGCTTTACTTTCTCTGCATAGATTCAGTTTATATTGTAGGTCTACAATCAAATTAATAATATGAGTGTAATATGAGTGAGTGCAAGAATAAGGCCTGTGTTGCGATAAATCACTTGCTTATCTTACCGAGTCCTCAGGGGGCCTGTTGATTTTTGACCACTCTACTGAAGGTCCCTTCACCTGCAGAAATCGGTGGAATAACTTCCTAAAGCCTTCAAAGTCCTTCTTAGACACCTGAGGAAGAGAGCAGGCAAAAATTAATGAATTATTGAGGAAGGTCCTTCATGTTTTCTCCTTCTGAGAAACAAATCATTTTCAGTCATTTAAACTCAACCTCTACATATTATGCATCACTAGGCCGATCCAAGATATTTTCGTAACAGCGGTCAATCAATATGGTTTTTCAACAATCAGTACTTTAACTTTTACATTTGCCTGTACATTTTTTTTCCTTAGATTTTTTAGATTTTAAACTTTTAAGGGCATTGGCTGTCAACTTCCTCCGCTTAGTCACTGTTATTTGTTATGATTCTAGTCAGCTTATTTAAAAAAAAGAAGAAAAAATCCAAATTTTTTTCAGCATAAAAAAACAACCTGCCAGCATAACTTTCTAATCTTGTTTTGTACAATCTGCCAATTAAAACTCCTAAAGGCTTCTGAAATAATTAACACCCTGCTGTGAAAGATCACTGGGTCCTCAGGCCTCTCACTGAGCACATCATTAAAAATAAAACCTGTTTGATGAAAATCCATAAAACTCCTTGTGCCTGCTGAGAATTTAAAGTTCAATTGCTTTGTACTTTAATCAAAGTGTAACTTTGATGAATAAACCTGGAAAGAAGCTTGTGAAGCAACAGTTAACACTTAAGTAGTATTAAGTAGCACTTAACGAAATGCATTTGCCAAATAATATAGATTTAGGGTTGCCAGTGAAATGGATTGATTCTCGATACCAAAGCAAAAACTACTATGCTAATGTACACACACCTTTATTTATTTAAACTATTTTGAAAAATATTATAACAATATAATATAATCAATATAAATATACAAATCAGAACAGATCTGAAAGATCATGACAGTGAATCTTGAGTAATGGCTGCTGAAAATTCAGCCAAAGGAATTTTTCAAAATATACATTAAAAAAAAGTTGTAATTACATTTCATAATATTACTGTTTTTACTGTATTTTTCTTCAAATAAATGCAGCCTTTCATAAACAATTACAGACCCCAAACTTTTGAACAGTATTAAAAATATATTTACATTTACATTGTAACATTTTATTAAATAAATAATAATGGTAATATTAATCAAGCAATATTTTTTGTTTGATTAATATTAATATTCCAATAATAAAATAGCAACAGGTCTATTAGAATATATTTCACTGCCTAATCCACAGATCTGGTATTTTGACATTTGACATTAACTTAACTGACTAGGTTTGTTTTCAATTCATCAAGCATTTTGACCAGAAAGTTCAATTGATTTGATTCAAATATTAATGTGAGTCAAAATCAGCCGCCTATGATTCAGGAACGGTACAGATACAGTTGACTTGACAGACTGGTAATGTTACTTTAGAATCGATGTGTGACTGAAGTAATGGTGCTTTTGACATTTTGACTTAAAAGGCAGCTACAATGAATTGCAGAGTGACAGTTTGTATGCATACACGTGGATGTCTTCATAAAAGTGGTGCAACTATGTAAACTGTAATCAGACGATATCTCCACATCTCCTTATACATCATGGTTTATTTGAGCTAGCAGGGTGTGGGTTTTAATACGTCATTTGGCAGTACATGTTAGGGTGGGATCACGGGAGTCTGTGTGAAATGGAGAGGGAGGGACACAAGCGGTCAGTGTGTGTCACAGTGATGACGGCTAAGCCTGATTATTACCATATGGTGCTGAGGAAACACTGGGGTGGATAGCCAGACAGCTCAGAGTTTTGCTATCTGACCTGCTCAAACTGACTCAAAACCGAGACGTTCAGTGAAAAAAGGAAAATGAAAGAAGGGGAAAAGATGAACAGAAGGAACTGGGTTGGGGCTGAAGAGAGAAGATGCATCATGATGAAGCTAGTCTCATGGTGAGATTAATTAAACATCAGCTCAGCAGTGCAATGAAATCTCTCCTGTCACACTGTCACGTCATTCATCAGCTGCTGCACTCAGATGGCACCTAAAGAGGGTCCCTCTCGTTTTTCATCTTTGCTCCCTTCTTCATTCTAATGTGCACTGAAACTGGGACTATAAAGAATAAATTATGATTTCAATTTTTTTATTAAACGTGCAGGCAGTAATTGTTCGTCTCATTAACAAGTTCTACACATCAAGAAATTAGTAGACTTTTGAAAAATGGGTTTAAAATGATGCACGCTCACCCTAGAAAATTCCAGTCATGACAGCAGTCTAATAAGAGCAGTTTTGTTTTACATGGAGCAGGACTGCCTCCTGATCTGACATCTTGAGATCACATAACCAGCCAAATACTACTCTCTTTATCTCCGTAATCCCCCAAGTACATCCCCTTTTCGCTTGTGAAATAAGTTGTGGAATCTTGTGCCGACATAGTATCAGTAATGAAAAACTTTTGCATGATGCTGAAACCATCATATGTTCCTGATCACACCTACACTACCATTCAACAGTTTAAGGTCAGTAAGATTTTTTTTAAAGGGACAAATGCTGTCATTGAACTGCCAATTCATCAAAGAATCCTGAAAATATACGGTTTCCTCAATAAGAAATGTTTCTTTTGCACCAAATCAGAATATTAGCTTTAAAGATCATGTCACACGGAAGACTGGTGTAATGGCTGCTACAAATTCAGCTTTGCCATCACCGGAATAAGTTACATTTTAAAATATATTAAAATAGAAAATAGTTAATTTAAATTGTAACAATATTTCACATTATTACTGTTTTTACTGTATTTTCAAAAACATTTTAAAGACCCCAAACTTTTGGCTGGTAGTGTACATAAATTATTCATGTAATAAAAAGGTAAATCAGTTAGCTGAATTTTAAAAAATATGTTTAATTAATTAAAATGCTTGTATCTCACCTCAGCTTCTGCACCTTTGGCTGTGCCTACGAGTTTTTCCAGCTCAGCGTGCATAGAGCTCTCCAGCTGCTGTCGCATCACTTCCTGAAACTGAGCCATCTTGTTGCTGTTGCTTGGTAACTCTTTACTCAGACCTACAATTAAAACCAAACACCTTAATGTTGAAGTTCTCATATTAACTTTACAATGAAAAAACCTCCTGACCTTCCTAAAAGACAGTTTAGTGATTTTCCTGCAAGCAATCTGCAGCAGGCCAATGAACAAACTATCACTTCAGGTCAAAATCGATTGAATTTCTGGTTCTCATAAGCATTAAAAACCTTTTGATCTAATGTCTTATGTCGAAATACTTAAAGCTACTTGAATACCTGTTTTGAAGACAAATGTAAATTGACTAAGAAACTGAAATATATATAGGTCCCTACATAATGTCCTTACTGTTATTTGATTGTTGCAGTGGTATCAATGAAGAATGGAGTCAGTGTGTTCAAATACAGTTCCTTAAAAAATGCTTTAAATCAAATTGATTTGTATAAATCTTACTTGCAGTGATAAGGAGACTGATAAGCAATATTAATATTTGTGCCGCTGCCTTGTGGTACACAATCAAAAGACTCCCATCCAAGAAGCCACGAAAGCACATATATGTTATCAAGAACGTTTGCTGAGTGTAACACACACATCATCCACTGGGCTCAGGGTTAATTTGCTGTAAATCTGCCCATTTACACTGGCTGTAATGTAAGGTGTCACTCAACCTTTACCCTTGAGTGAGTGGGTACAACAGAGAGGTTAAACTACATTCTGTTTGATATGGTTTATCCAATAGTAGATGCTGAGCTTGAGGTATGGGGAAGAGGAAAAGTCTAACTGTATTCCTTTTTATTATTATTATTATTTGTGGGCCATTTATTTGGTATAGAGGAAGAAAGGAAAGTAGGGGAGATATAAGTGTAACAGGATTCAGACTCATATTCGCTTAAGACAACAGCTCTTATATGTCAAGTGCGCTACCTTGTGCGCCACAGCTCTGACTACCTGATTGAATCCTGCTCAACCACATTTCATCAGTATGAACCCATTTGTTTCATTCTCCTGCCAGTGTGCCAAAAGTTATTCATCTGCTAACATGCTTCCTGGCATGTGACACTTAAAATCCAGTAAATGACAGTGTCAGCTGGCACTTTAAAAATGAAATCATTTCTGTTTTTCCCAGAATTCAGTTTTTCTCAGAATTGTCTAATACAGCAGCATTACACTCACTTCTACCTACAAATAAAACTAAACAGTGGCTTGACTTTGATTTATAGTTTATTGGGCTGTTGGTCATTTATTTAGTTATTGAACAGACACTGTTATTCACAACGATTCACAATATAGATATGGTCCCTCTGGAGGAACCAGTGTTAAAGAAGGCAGTGAAAATGTACAGTCTGCCAACAGGATAAAAGCAAGGGTTATTTTGCGTTAAAGACTGGCTGACCGTACATTGTTCCACTTACACAGCTATTTACCAACTAAATAAATAAAAGAACATGAAATATTGATTTGTGCTTCAATATATGTTACTATTTGAGAAGAAAGAAAATGGAGTGATGTAATACTTCTAGCACAATTACACCTTAGGGGTATTTTGTAAAGGTACACTGTAAAACAAAATCGTCAGAATACCTAAACGTGCTAAAAATCTAAATTAATTGGTTTATGCAAGTCAAATATATTTAAAACTAATAAAATAAAACATTTTATACTACCGAATCAACCTGACGACATTAGGTTACACCAGCAAAAGTAACTTTAAGGGTAAGTTCAGGTAAAAATAGCTAATTTTTGACAAAACATTGGCAACTGATAAACAGCGCATAAGTGAGTGTGCAGTTATATTTTTTCTTTATTTAGTCTGCTCCTTTAACTTTCACCTCAAAAAGATATGCGTTTGTTTTACTATTTTATTGTTTTGCATTTGCACATTTCTTGCAGTGTTAAAAGTCTTTCAGAATGGTGCCTTTAGCAGTGTTGGATTCATATTATATGCCATTTACAAATGATTCTACCAACACATCAACAAATCATTTCTATATGTGTGCAGAAAGGTGTTCTTCATTCACAGAAAATAAAACATGAAAAAAAGAACTTTAGAGGGGCATAAACTCTCAAAAAGCTGCTGTAATCAAACTCTGCACGTATCAAAGCTCAACTGCACACTGCACACTGCACACTGTGCACAGAACGGCAACCCTAAATACAGTGGGGTCCAAACGTCTGAAACCACTGGTGAAAATGCTCCATGCTTCAATGCCTTCATTAAAAATTATACTATGAGCATAAAAATTGTATTGAAAATGTACATTTGTATGTCCCTCTTTTGCTTTGATGGCCTTAGTGCTCAAACTCAAACCACAGAAGTTTAAAAGTGTAAAATGTGATGGTCATGTTCTCCAGCATGATTTGAGAATGATCCAAAGAGCATACTGAGGAAGCAAGAACATCTCACCATCTGTACACTAGGAGTTCACAAGATCAATTTCACAAAATGGCTTATTTGAAAGTGACCCATAAAAAAGGCAGAATCTTGTTAATGATTTACACTATCATCACTCAGGCCATTAATTTTTTTTTTTTTAGAAAAATGTACACTTTTATTCAGCAGGAATTCATTAAATTGATAAAAAGTGACAGTGAAGGCATTTATAATGCCTTCTATTTCTATCTAAAACTAAATATTATATTCCAAATAAATGCTGTTCTTTTACACTTTCTATTAGTCAAAGATTCCAGAAAAAAAGCATAATGGGTTCCACAAAAAAACACAGGTATAATTTACATTTTAAAATAGATTTAAATAGCCTAACATTTCACAGTAGTATGTTTTTAAATGTATTTTTGAACATATACTATGTACTATCTTATGCTCAGCCTTTGTGAGCATAAGAAACTTTAAAAACCATTAAAGAATCTTACTAAACCCAAAACTTTTAACAGTGTATGCCGCAATGTTTTGTTGTATTATTTTCAAAATCCTAAAACCTTTTATTTATTTCCAGGTTTAAATTAGATTGCATATCTTGGATTTTCAATGTGACTTCATACTTTTGGACCCCACCGCCCTACATTGAAACACTGCCGGCGACCGCATACAGTCACATTAGTCAGTATCCCCTGTAATGTGTGTTTAATGTCAAATCTCGTTAAATTACAGACATTGTCAGGCCAAATGAATAGCTGTCAAGAGAACCAAACCTGTGGTCTGACAGCCAAACCAAAGCGAGGAATGGACAGTCTGGAAAGGTCTGGGGTTTACGAAATGCTCTATATAAACCCTTCCATTTCTGCAACTTTCCCAGTGTATCAGTCAGCATTGACTGAGGGGTCCATTCAGCTCTCACTCTCATCAGAATTCAACTGACAGCTTGTACATGGTGCAGTAAGACCCAGTTGATCACTAGATACCAGTAGGTATCATCTAATTAATTAAGTTATATCCAGAGAACCAATACAACCTTTAAAGTACTTGAGTAAGTATAAAACAGCAAAACCAGGACTTATGAACGTTCTTACCTTCAATGTAAAGCGACATAGTCTCGGTGCTCATAACTCTATGAAAAGCAGTTCGGCTAAATATCACAATAATCCTGTTTTTTTTTTCTCCCCACCTAATCCAGTTCAAGTCATGGGAAAAAACAGCAACATAGATAAATCCAGTCGGGATTTGAGGCTTATTGGTAGCAGTAATAATAAGACAGAAGGTCAGCTGGTCGATTCTCTCATTCTGTTCAAGAGCGCTTTCATCTGGCGTTCATGCGCTTTTAAATGAACCATCTCTCCCTCTCTCTCTCCTCCCACTGACTATCGAGTAACAGGGTGAATAATAAACGACTGTCTCGACGACCTTTACTCGCGTGTGCGTTTATTGCTCAAAGGAGACGGTGTGTTGTATTAAAAGGTGAAGTGATTATGTGCATCTCTCTGTGCTCAGCCCCTTTGGTCCGTCATGATTCAACGCGTCACATTCGGTCACATTACAATCCAGCAGCACTTCCTTGATCACGTCCACCCAGTTCTGGTTGTCTTAGGATAATTTCTAAGATTTTTAGAGTCAGTTTTGTTTACTTTATCCGGGGGAAATTAAACGTTGTTATTGTACCATGTTGTACAAAATGAAATGTCAGTGGCTACAGTGGTATTATTTAGTATGGACTGTACGCGTTGTTGCAGTATTTTCGCCCTTGCAAGCACAGAGCAGCGACGTTCTCCTCTCTGTGTAGACGCTTGACGTTATGTTGTGGCTTCGAAAAAACATCGTTTTTTAACGTGGTTTAGGAGTTAGGAACACGGCAGAGAAAGTGGTTCCCTGGCGTTATAGTATTATAAATGCAAAGCGAATGTGAACGTAGATTTGAAATGTCTTACTCTGAAGGCTGGAAGATGCTGTCGGGGAGCTGCTAACGTTAAAGGTTGTTCCGGAACAGCGACGTGTTTCCCTCTCTGACCAACCAACTTTCTCCTCTCAGAAACAGCAGTGCGGGGTCACTGAACACTGCGGAAGTGCTTCGCTAAAAACATTTAGAAACATCCTGAACATTATACGTTGAATTAAAAGAACTGCTTAGAAAGCAAAATTATATAGGCCTACTACGTAATTTGTCACCTTTTCCCCCTTTTTTAATAGTCATTATTGTATCACCTCTGTCTTGATGACTTGTGATTCTGATTGAATGTATCAGTTAACACTCAAATGTTATCATAATACAAGATACAGCAGAACCGGGTTTATTTATTTATTTAGTAAAAAAAGCAAGGTATTACAATCATTGCAGTAGATTTATTTCCAAAGGGAAAACGTGAACTCGCTGTAACCAATGAGAGCGCTGTTATTTCAGAGCGGCGCATCTCATTGGGGGAGTGCAGTCGGACTGCAGTGTTGCCATGTGCTCTTATTATAAGTGATTTGTGGATTGCCATTTAATGAAATCACTTATAAATAGAAGCTTTGATGGGTTGCGATTTGTTAGCTTATTTGTAGAATACACTCGCTTAATTTGGGACTTCTTATACAATTATTCGTAGTACAATTACATACCCCAGTAAAACATTGTCTATCAAAAACAGCATCAAACACATCTACCTATTAACCATTATCTAAGACTAAGCAATTATTAAATATTTTCTCCATTGTTAATAGGTGTCTGTATTTATTAACTTAGAGGGAAAGTTGTCTATTAAAGCACGTCAATTTTTTTGTAGAAATATTTAATTTAAGACATCGCAAATTTTGGGCTTGTTTTTTTTATCGAGATTTGGCAACACAGACGGCAATGCCACGTCTACAACCTCACACCAATGACCTTGCAGGACAGAACGATCAGCACTCCTTTCGTACAGCGCATGTAATGTGTTGCAAGATACAGTATGTACAATATTCAGTATTTCTAAGGTTCAGAAATGAAAAAAATTATCCTGACTCTAAACACTACATATGTCAATTAATTGACTGTAATAGACAATTTTGGTCATTATTCATTGTAAACCACAGTGTGCAAAAGAATGTTTTAGTACTGTTAATATACAAAAGTGCAATAATGCATTTTAATGTCTGGGTTTTATTGCGGGATTCTACATATAAACATCTGTTACAGTAACCACACTGCCAAAGGAATTTAATTACAACAAGAAACATTCCTTGATCATTTCTGACTCCTGTCAGATATGTAACAGCTGAAATTTCAGTCTGGACAATGACACAGAAAGACCTAATCCATGTACTCTGAGTTCTTTCAAGGCTTTGGTCCTCCTTTAAGCAATTCTGGATTGGAAAGGGCAGTCTAGAAATAATTAAAATCTTGTTTTAGACTACCTTTTCTCTTTACATGAAAGCTGTGCTCTGGTGGAAGACCAAAACCAAGAAAGGAAACAACCAAAGTCCCTGTTAAACAGCTGGACTAGATTCCAATTCTGAATTATCAGACAAAATCCAGCTGAACAGGTTTAGGAAATTCAAGTACATATAGTTCTAGTATTTGTGTAACAGTTTCAGGGGAAGAAAAAGATTTTCAGGAGTGTTTTACAAACATGCTTTTGGAGTTTTCTGGGCATCTAAGAGTGGGTTTCTAGTCACACACCCAAGAAAGAGACAGCGGTGTCTCTTTCCTCCACTAATTCAGCTGCTGTTGCGTCCATCTTTGCTCTTGAGAAGTCACTGATGACCAGGCCTTCAACAATCTTCCAGGTCTTATCCTGAAATAAAAGATAAATATCTTGAAATGGTGGCTAAAATCCAGCATTCTCTAGTTGAGCTTGATAAATAGATGTAAATGTTTGTGGAACAGATTACTGTGTAAGGAACCGATATCAGGCATAGATTTGGGGAATTTTTAATGACAAACCTTGATTGAAACAGGGAATGAGTAAATGAGGTCCTCAGGTACTCCATAAGGGTTTCCAGTGGAACAGACACCCATAGAGATGAACTCAGCCTATAAAACAAACACATAAGCAGTTCAGATCAAATCAGCAGTTCTTCATACATCTGTACAGCATTAGTCCAAATAAAGCTGTTGCCTTGTGTGCAACATCACAGAATAAGTAGAGAACACTTGCAACCTTCATTAGACATCATCATATTGCACATAAAATTACATGTAGATGAGTAAATACTTAATAAGCAGCTCCCATGGTGTTTGTGTGGGATGTCGTTGTGCATTTCTATTTAATATTGCTTGGCTTTTTAGTTCTAGAGTGCCATCACGCTTCTTCAGGACATTTTAAAAGGCGGACTGTTTTACCAATTTAGGACTTTTTTTCCCCCTTGTGGCTTCCCCTGTTTATTATTTGATTTTGAGCCTCAGTTTGTCAAAAATGACTGGTATGTACAAAATTTTAAAGTGGAAATCCTCCACACCTGATGCAATAAAATACCTACAGAAGTAGTTCTGTAAATGACTCAGTTAATAAATGACTTAAATATTACATTTAATAAATAAAAAATTAATAATTATTTGTTGCTATATTACATTTTTTAACTAAATTATAATGCTAAAAACTAATTTTAAACATAAACCCAAATCATCTTTTTTCCCATCAATAACTATTGATTTTACTGAAGAACATATAGTTCTTAAAACTTAAATTTTGAAATTCAATATATCAATACTTTGATTTTACATTCTTAAAAACTGTTTAAAAATAAGCAACTGTCATGACTACAGCAGAAAAATAAAAATATCTTGTATTGTGTTGGACAGTGGCAGGCCTTTGAGTCAAAAAGGTTGAGAACCACTGATCTACAGAGAAAACAATGCATATTTTAACCAATACAGAGATGCAATATTGGTCTAAAACCAATGTCTGCGTGAATTGCAAAAAGTTGACCTCGGCAGTGCCTGTCCAGATGTCTCTCATGTGGTCACAGATGGCCTTGGCCGCTGACATGGCACTGGAGAGCTTCCTGGCTTTAATGACTGCAGCACCACGCTGCTGCACTGTCTGAGAAACAGAGAGGAAGAGTGGAATAACCACAGAAAGATTTTGATCATATCACTCCAATCAGTAGTCATATGCAAAGTATATTAATAATGTTGCTACAACAGACCTAACTGTCTTATTACTCAATGTCATACACATGAATGCTGATAAACATAATGCTCTTCCTTACACAGTAATGTGGAAGAGTAAATAGGCCAACAGTGACCTCTACAGGAAGAGGAAGCCACAGCAGACAGCACTTACAGAAATGAAATCTCCTTTTAGCCAGGCATCGTCCTTCACTGCATCAAAGGCAGTCACGTCCTTCCCCTGCACATTCACCTTGCAGTGGTGGACGTCAGGGTACTGCGTAGATGAATGATTTCCCCAGATGATCATATTCTTCACAACGTTTGCTGAAATGCCACAACGCGTTGCCACCTAGAGGACACATTGTGTGGTACAAGTTAGTGTGAAAATTAGGCATAAATTGAAGTATTTCACCTCTTTGTATTGGTGGGCCATCCAGCAAAGGGCTGTTTTACCTGAGAGCAAGCCCTGTTGTGATCCAGTCGCGTCAGACAGGAGAAATTCTCTTTGGGGATGGATGGGGCGGATTTGGCCGCAATCAGACAGTTAGTGTTGGCTGGGTTACCAACAACTAGAACCTGCATATTAAAACATATTGCTTTTAAATTAGCTTCACTTCATTGTATTTGCTCTTAATTAGGTCAAGGTCATTATCCTGTTATTCACCTTGACTGTTTTCTTTGCATACTTGTCAAGAGCCTGCCCCTGGGACTTAAAGATGGCAACGTTAGCCTTCAGTAGATCCTTTCTCTCCATGCCCTCTCTTCTTGGCATGGATCCCACCAGGATGGCAGCATCCAAATCTTTGAATGCAATATCCTCTTTATCAGTGGGGATGACCTCTACAACAAAAGGCACAGACAGTGGCATTAAAATAGATGGAGGGTAAACAACACCAGCAACATCAGGGAGTCACAAGACAACACACTGAGAAACTCCGAAAATAAAGAACCTGGGTAATGTGAAAGACTGGTTGACTGTTTTTAATATATTAATATATATTACAATACATTGTATTATGAAATCATCATAGTTTTGCTTAAAAAAACAAGTCTTTTAATATATTAGATATTTTAATAGCACATTAATCCTACACAATCCTGCCAATAATTCCTCATTTTCATTAAATGTGAATTTGTGAAATAATAATTGAAAGATTATTATTATAATTTATTAAATAAAAAAGTAATTTTATATCAGGTAGGCAATATTTGTTGAACTGCCATGTATTTATTACAAGTTAAATACACATATTATGTGTATTTACTACATATAAAACAATTAAAATGTGCATTTGTTTAAAAAAAAAAAAAAGAGGAAAGATGATTGTCATGCATTTAACGTCACAATGCATACATGCATGCATACATACATATATACATGTATACAGTGGCTTGCTTTTGTTTATCCATCCAGTTTGGGCCTCCTGAATTTTTGGTTGCTGATTCCATGCACTTGACAGGTCACATACTGTCAACCTTCCCACATCATCCTGGGATGGGAACTACAATCCTAAGTTTAGCTGCCCTTTCAGCTGGGGATCATACAGGCAGCCAATCAGATTGCTCTGAGCTATTGTCATTTGTGCAGTGAAAACACAGGCCTTTAAGACTGCATGGCTGGCACAAAGACCACAGGATACAGGGCCTCATGACACTCCATTCTGTATGTATGTGTGTGTATGTGTACCTCTCAGAATTGGGAGAGCACAGTCCTGCAGCTCCATAACGACACCCTCCAGAACAGGCAACATGGGAGTGATGTCCAACAGAAGCAAAATGAGAGGCTGAAAGTGAGAGGGAAAGTGAACATTAGTGCATGTCTTGCATAACTAAATAGTGTTCCTGTGGCTCAGTAGGAGAGCACTGCGTTAGAAGCACAAAAGGTCGTGGGTTCGATTCCCAGAGAACACACATACTGGTAAAAAATGTATAGTCTGAATGCACTGTAAGTCGCTTTGGATAAAAGCGTCTGCTAAATGCATAAATTATGAATTATTATTAATGAATTATAACTGTCATAATATGGTTTTGGTTTTGCAATAATCTCTTCAGCTGTCGAAGACATATATGGTGCCTTTTCCTGGAATTAGCTAAACAGCATGCTAAATGATACAACAGACTTTAATTGATTGGATGTGACGGGACATTGCATAAGCCAAATCCTGCCCCTACCTGATCTTTACCGAAGACATCTCCCTTTGCAATGCTGTATAGCAGAGAGTATGCGATCTGCCCTGCGGCACCGGTCACCAGGACCCTAATAGGCTCAGCCTACAGCAAAACAAGAGTGATAGAATTATAAACAATAGATGTAAGTTAGCATAGAATATAAAAGTCATATTACAACAACCACTCAGGACAGACACGCTCAGGAGGCTCACCACGTTAGAACATATAAATAGTCCTGGCAAACTCTGCCAGACCTCAGAATGACTTGCTGTGTGGGATATTTTTAAACCAAGAGACATTTATACATTTCTTCAATGAACTCACTTTCAACATTTGGCCCTTCTGCAGAAACATTCGTTTGTTGCAAATGAATGTATCTGTATTATATTCAGAATAGTCTAATCCCTTATTTTTTATTTTACACAGAATAGAGGATTAATACACCTCAAAATGCTCTTAACGGTTTGATATAAGAAATATCACATGCAAACATAAATGCTTGACTGTTATATTCCAACAGGTGTTTTAATCATCACTAATGCTAGTCTTGGTACTAACTTGCATATAACAGTTCAGCAAAAGATAAGTTCTGCTGTAATTCTTAAAGTCTAATTAAACTTCGACACTGATTTTCAAAGCCTTGGGCCACTTCGCAATTACATTGTCATATTTTGACAGTAAAACTTATTTTCATATCAATGTAAGTCGGAATAGTAATTTTTCTTACCATTTTCAGCTGGTTGACAATGACAGCTGCTCTCCCACTACTCCGGAGATTGCGGAGGTCACCCCTATTTTCCTCACGAGGCAACAAGTTGCCGGGGCACCTGCGTTTCAAGTGCCTTCTGGGAAATGTAGTTTTTAGTGGCGCTACAGGAGTTCACTTTGTTGAAATAAAAACTACAGTTCCTACAAGTCACTACAATAAATCACAAACTAATAGATCCCTCTTCCATGAGTCGTGTATGGGACCGATTTATTTAAGCGAATCGGTTCTTTCGAGCAGTTCGTTTCAAAGAACCGATACGAAAGACTGTTGTCGGGTCATTAAAACATAGGTTTAACTTAAATATATTTTGCATTTAAAATAAACAACACAAAAAATGCATTCAGTTAGCTTTTGCACTTTGAATTAATACTACATATTTCAGAATGTTTTATTTATAGCCTTTATTTAGCTTTTTTTTTTATAGATTATTTATACCTTTTTTTTTTTATCCCCGACTCTCAAAAAAGATTCACTAGGGCATTTCATCTGAAAGATTCATCAATTTGAAGATTATTGTGCGTGATAAATATAATTTGGTCACAAAAATAACATATAATAAAGCCGTTTATGCGAAATAAATGCAAAAATTGTTTAAGATTTCTTGGTTTAAATATTTGTGTACGTTCAAATTGGACAGTAAACTATTAATGGAAAATAACCACAACATTCCTCGTAAAGACAATGTAATATGTTAAGAATCGATCGGGTTTCTGAACTCATGTAAATAGGATCCCAATCCTGATCCCGACTAAAGGAACAACCTGTTTTTATACAGTCTATGGGAACAACCCGGAAGATATTAGAGTACCGTAATGTTTGGAAAACAACGCGGTGGAAAAGTAAACGGTGATGGAGAGTTGCGTCCGTTGCTTGGACACTCTTGAAATCATGAACATGTCAATGATTAGCAACAGCTAACAATCCCTAAAAATATCGTGTGTAATATTTAAAAGTTACATAAGTGAAAGAGATCGCGTTTAACTGCCACAATTTTATTTATGCTTATATTTTTCTGAAGTTATAAGTTACTCATTTGTAGTCGTCTGGCAACAAACTTAAGACAGCAGCACCTGCGGCGGCATCAATTCAGTCATCTGGAGATCAACAGATTATTTGTGAACTAACCGTTAACCGGTAAATCCATGAATGATGGTATTTCAGATTGGTGAATCAAACATGTGTATGATAAATTAAATGTATTTGTTTTAGTCGTTGTACAGCGCAAACCAATGGGTGGTTAAGTAGTATTTTCTCTTATCACCCAAAACAATCTAAAATGTCCGTTGTGAGATGTTTCGGAATTCCGCGACTTCCACCCCCTCGGACTGGTTCAGCTGACCGAATAGGGTTCACTGTTGTCGGCTTGTAGGAGTAAAGACGATTTCACGAGAGTGTGGAAAATATTAGTAGCCCTATTAGCGGACATGTGGTCTGTGCCATTAGATGGACTACAGACCTATTATTATTAGTCGTATTCTAGATAACACAAGTAATTAATTTTTGTTAGTTTGAGACTAACAAGGACAGTGATATAAATGAAATAGTGTATGAAGTTACAGTCAGAAACTATCAAAACTAGGTTATATCTTATATCCCCTCTTTATACAAACTTATGATACCATATTTCCCCATTCTGAAAAAATATTTTCAGTTAGTAAGGAGAATTGTCAGTTTCTTTAAAGTCTAGTATAACATTCATAAAATTGATATGCAAGTTTAGAAAATACAGCCAAGAGTAGCTATTTGATTAACACACAGTATATCTTGTTATGATAGATGTATTTCGCTGTCTCCTAGGTTGAGAGGGTGATATAGGGCCTCTATCAGTTCAATGCTTTGGGTGAGATAGATGATCTCTCTGCTGCATTTTACATGAACTCATTACAGGCTCATTACAAACCGCCTGACAATGGAGCTGAGAATAATGTTGCTTCCTTATGAGATGTCCACACAGAGAACAACACCAAACACTCTTCTCCAAAACAGAGAGGAGATGGCAAGCTTTCAGTTTATGAGTGCTTTGCAATTCTGTTTAACAATTGCAGTCAGATTGCTGCATATAGTTTTTGACAATCAATTATTTTTGGAATAGAATATCATAATATAATATTTTATAAGGCATTCTTAAAAATGTCTGAGCCTCCCTATACCGCCCTGTCGTTCTTATATTCTCTTTCTCTCTCCCTCAGGCTCTTTCATTCACACTGTGTATCGTGAGACTGGTGTTTAATAACACCTTAAGTTTTCTGTAAAAAGTGAAGTGTGCTATACCTACACAATACATATTTTTATTCTGAAATAAATTTAGTCAGATACTGAAGTAAGAAAGTTTTAATTTAACTTGATTTAATAATTTTACATTACGCTGATTTGAAAGATATTGTAGTACTGATGTTGAATAAAACAATTAAATAATAGTTATCAATAATGAAATGAAATCAGATTGTTTATGTGTTGACATTAATAAATTATATGCAATTAAATACAAATAAAATTGTATTAATTAAATATTTGAAAGTTTATTATAGACTTATTAAAGATGGATTTATCTTATGTTCATAACAGTTTTAAGCATTTGTTCTTTAAACATATTTAACCTTTAAATCACATAACCTTTGCTCTTAACCATGACAGGATTGTCAAACCAGTAAATACAGTTTTGAAATATTTTAATAGTGCAGTATCAGATTGCACACTGTGAAGACTGAAATTCTAGAATAATCCAGACCTGCTTCAACAGGCCCCCATTTCAGACAACTCTTTCCATGTCAGACTGAAAATTAAACCGTAATCAGTCAAATGAAATGATTAATAACAGATGAAGCAATATTTAGTCTGACTGACTGCCTATATATTTGTTTTGCTCCCCATAAATAGCAGTGAATTTTTATTTGTATGAAGCACTAATATCAAGCATTTGTGAGATGTTTTTGTTTATTCATTTCTCAACCATTAAGACTCGTTGAACAAAAAGTTATTCAGTACTCTTAGTTCAGATAAATAATAAGCTGACTGATCTCAGACATCTCTTTGTGGATTAAAAAGTGATATCTCAGCTGTCATGTTTTAGATGTTGTCCCTGATTCAGTGCACCTCTATCAACTCATGCTCTAGTGACTTTAGATGGTTTCTGCACTTTTTCCTCCCTTTTTTTTTTGTAAACGTGCTGTTTTTCACAGATTTTGTGAACCTGCATTGTTCATGTCATGTCAGTGGGAATGTTTGTTATTGTGTCTAATGCACACGCTGTACCTGGTGACACAAGGATATTCATGGTCTGTGCAGAGAGAGAAAATCAAAACAATACCTGTGAGGGATTTGAGAACATCTGCACTCTGTGACCTCATCAAACTATGCCTCTGAATAAAGAGACGTACTGTGGGATGTTACCATTTAAGTGTCTGAGTGAGCTAAGAAGAGGGTAAGGATGAAAATATTGTGGGTTTGGATGAGAGTAATATAACCTGAGGTCAGACCAACTACATAACATTTTGGACAGTGAAGTGAGATATATTTGACTATTTTTATTTTTAAGGCATTGTGTTTATATATGCTGTGCATACCTGGGCCAATATCGGAATATTCTGAAATATATAAAAAATGTACACTACCGTCTAAAAGTTTTGGGGACAGATTTTTTTCTGAAAGCAATTAATACATTTATTCAGGACGGATACATTAAATTTCAAATAAATGCTGTTTGTTTGAACTTTCTGTTCATCAAAGAATTTCCACAAAAATATTAACTTTCAGCATTGATACTAAGAATTGTGACAATAAAGACTGGAGTAATGGCTGCTGAAAGTTCAGCTTTGCTATTACAGGAATAAATTACATTTTAAAATATATTAAAATACTAAAATACTTATTTTAAATTGTATTAATGTTTCACAATTTAGCTGTTTTTACTGTATTTTTAATCAAATACATGCAGCCTTGGTGAGCACAGGAGATATGTTTTAAAAAAAATTAATGAAACTTTTGAACGGTAGTGTACATAAAAGCATTTTTAGCCCCATTTTTTAATATCTGTAGCATTTTTTCAGTTTCAGTGCAATGGCATTTTTACTCATTGTCTCAGCAAGGTCATGGCATGTAAATTAATTGTATTATAGCATCAACGCTCCATAGTTGTTGGTGTTTTTTGTTTTGTTTTTAACTGAAACCACTGGTATTCACCCATAGAAATGACAGAACTGGCACTATAGCAGTATGAAAGTGCCAAGTATTATGTGTAAATGGACGGTTTGTAATCCATGTTGATTGGATTAAGATTTACATATTCTTATTTTTGTGATTTATAAATCGTTTTATGACCTCTATATCACAGTGATCTGCTTTATTCAAAGGCGGTTGTATCTGTTGGTGATCTGGTACTGTCTGCCAGTGACGCGCCAAAATCCTTTACCAGACGACTATTATCTCTTTTCCATTGTCTGTTCGCAAAATCCATCTTGATAATATGACATGTCTCAATGGGGTTACGTGAGAACTGTGATGTTCATCCTTTAGACGTTTGCTTGCATTCTCATGAGTTTATTTCTTGGCATGATTTTAGATGATTTGTCTAGTGCCCAGAGTTTGAATTGCAGTACTGTTTTATGAACGTTAGGTGCCAGTGTAGCACTAGTTTTGTAGCGTAATTCCTATAACAAACATAAATGCAAGCAAACAATAAACAAGAATCACCTTAAAGAGTTTGAAACTTTATATTCCACAAATCAATGAATGGTTTCATTTTAATTGCTCTCATTTTCAACCTGCGCTTGTTTGGACTTTTGAAAGCACTACATTTAGTTCCAGGCCCTTGAAACCTGACTGGAAGTAATTGAGTGAGCGTTATTTAGTTTCTCCTCCTTCAGGGGTTTTAAAGACAGGCGTATTTCAAGTTGTCACATTGTTTTACAAATGTACAGCTGGGTTCTCCTGGCTCGTGATCATTCTAAGTGCTCTTTGATTTAGCTTCAAACAACAAAGCCCTCAGGAGTATTTACTCAAGAATGCTTTTTCAACCCCAGACTTCCCAATGCCTGTCAACTACACACTCTGTCAGCCTCAAACTTTCCCATGCCTGGCAGCCACACACACACACACACTCTGAT